CAGGGGAGGATGCAATTAATTTTCGTGGCTATTGTGGTTATGGAAATAGAGCTTGAGGAGAGCAGTGATGTTCCCTGGATGAGGAAGACATTGAGCTTTGAACTGTGACAGCCCTTTGCAGTCACTCCAATGCCATTCTTCAATTTAATGATCTTTGGAGGAGACCTCAGACCACAACCCAAGAAATATAATTTCACATTGACCCACATAGAAACTGGCTTTGTCATCCTTCTACTAAGCCAAAATTTAACAACAGTAGGAAGCAAAATAAACTCCTGTAATGATAAGATACCCTAATTTTTACAAATGATCCCCAGGGACATATGTCAGCACTGTTTGAAAGATCTGTAGTTAGCACTGAAATGCATTTGTTAAAATGAATCAACAATTTGGGGATGTGTAACCTTGTTGTTTTGGGTTTTTCTTCCCCCCTCCCCGTGTTTGTTTCCTCAGTAGGAGCTTAATTTAAGACTTATGCATGAGAGGAAGCCTTTCTCTAGACCAAAACTCATTAATCCTCCCTGTTCATAACTCAAATTTTCTTCATAGGTTCGAAGAAAAAAAAATAACCAAACCTTTGTTAAAGGTGAGGAAAAGTGGTTTTTTTGTTTGCCTCTTTGAATTTTTAACAACATAAATGTTAAAATTATTGGTAGCAAGAACAAAAGGGTGGACAACGTTTTCCTTGAATGCATAGGGTTTTTTTCTCTTAAGTTGTACTATGTCCTGGTGGTCCTACCATATTCCCTTCACTGTTAATGGATAATTCAGCAGTAGTCTGAGAGTTGTCAGTCAGAAACCTACTGAATACTTAAGATTTTTAAATGTTCCTTTTCATCCAAGCCCCGTGGTGAATGTATTCTGACTGTGAGTGCCCCAATCTCAGTGGCTGCTTCTTTTGGACAGTACTGGTCTTGTCTCTGTTGGCTCAGTCTCTCTACACTGTCCAATAAGGGAATGTGAGAACATATTTTATCTTTACTATCCAGTTATCACATGAGAAATCTTTTATTTTTTAAGCTCAGAGAATTCTTAAGGGAAAGCAGGCAACATAATTCAGAGAGATAAGGCATTATTAGTATGCTAAGAGTGTTAGAAACACTTGCCTATTGGCTTAGATTAGTCTGGATGTGATGCACACACATATGTGGAAAATATATTTCAACATAAACATTTGGGGGAGAAAAAGTTAAGGCTCACCTGGTTATGCAAGGAGCCTAGACCAGGAAACCAGCTTCAGAGAAATGGAAATTTACTCCAGAATTTTGTATTTCACTGCCATCCGTCACACACAGCAAGAGTGCCCTCCATCAGCTTGACATGAAGAACAAAACCTTCCTGTGAAGGACACTGTCTCAAGCACCTGAGGAGCCAAAGTGCTTCCCAGTTTGCTACTGGGGACAGGTCACCAAACCAGGGCATGGACACCAGGGTCTGTGTTGCTGCTTCCAGCCCCAACCCTGCATCCACGAACCTCAGCATCACTCCCTGTAGAGTTTGGTGCCCACAGCTCCTGGAGTCAGTGACCACCCAGCTCACCATGAATTCCCAGCATCATGTTCAGTGGCTGCAAGCACCCACAGAGCATGCTTGTAGGATGCCACCCTGGCACTACAAAACCCTGCTGCTAATAGTAGCACAGCACAAAATCAGAGTCTAGCAGGACATGATTTATTGCTTGATGGTGCCTTCCAAACCCCCACCAGTGTTTTGAAAGTATCGGGCTCTGCAGAGAGCATAATTTGTCAAAAATATTGGAAGCTTTGTTCCTTTCATCATATAAGAGCCAATGTTTTTTTCTCCAGTCAAAGTTCCTTTCTGGTCTTGGACTAACTACTTTTTCAGACTGCAGCAACAAACATTTGCTAATAATAAGCACTGGAAAACTTTGAACTGGTTTCACAAAATGTCCTAAATCTTAGTTTGTAAAGGAAGAAAAGATATGCAGAATTAGCCATGTTTTTTTCAGGCAGCAAGAACAATGTGTCCATACCACATTCCAGATGAAAAGGCAAAAGCATGATTCCTTGCCTGAAACTTTATACCATATAGATAGAGGCTTTTGTGAGGTACATTCAAAAAGGTTGTGAGGTAAGTCAAGACCTAATGGACAAGAGTAAGACACAGTGTTAGGGTAAAGGCCTATTGCATCCATGAGCTATTAGCTAAATCTGAAAATACTTCTGGCTCTCTTGCAGTACAAAGTCTTGAACGTCCCAGAAAGCTCAAGTTAACCCTTCTGTGGATGGAGCCAAGCAGTTGCATTCACAAGGGCAAACTGCTGTGGTGCAACACATGCCCCTGAAGCAACACTCAGGCCAGGGATTGTATTAGAAGGCTACATGGATGCCAAGAGTTACAGAGAGGTTTGAAGTGTGGCTTGCATAAGGCTTTAAAGGGGTTTGTTACACAGCACTGGATGCAGCTAGGTGCACTGGAATGTACCAAAGAGGGGTGCTTTGAATGAGCAGAAGTTTCATGGCCAGTGGCTGTCTGAGCAGCTGTGGAGGCCAGGCAGGGTGGTCCAGGACACCCAGAATATACCTAGTTATTGCTCACTGAGTCACAAACCCAATTTCATTAGCTTTTAATGCCTGGATGCCCATCGTGCTTGTGTCTTCAGCAGCCCTGGCTCAGTCTGGATTTAAAGGGCTGTGACACAGAGCACCCCAGCAGCCTCCCTCAGCCAGGTCACCTCCTCAAGCAGGCAGCCACAAAGCCCACACTGAGCCCTGTCTGGTTCAGCACTGCTCCACTCCGTGCCACGGGCACCGAGGACTCCTCCCTGGAGCCAGATGTTCTGGGCTCTGGGCAGCACTCCCAGAGCAGATGTTGCACATCCTGGCAAGGCGTGGCTGCAGCCGAGGGATCTCCAGCGCCTGGCATCACCCCAGGGTTTGGTGGCATCACTCTGGGTGGGAAGAAAGGAAGAGCTCTTGTGTTTGCTGTCTGCCAGCCCTCCTGCAGAGACCTGACCTATCTGCCCTGCTCAGGGTGTGCCTGTGCCAGGGGCCTGTCTCTGACCCCGGCTTGCACCAGATGTTTCAAAAGAGAGCACAAGAAATTCTGAAGGTGACAGCTATAGAGTAACCAGCCAACAGAGAAAGATTCCTCCAAATCCTATTAGTCAGAGGTTGGCTTTGACCCTGGAGCATTAAGCTTTGTATCTCCTGTAAGCCCTGTTTGTGTGTGTGCTCTCTATGGCCCCACCACAGCAAGTCTGAGTCTTCTGGATGTCTGAAGAGAGGACAAAGGGTCTCACTGCCATTTTTCTGTTTAAAATACCAAAGTTCTTTAAATTAAGGTTAGAAATAAATACTAATGTGCAGTCCCAGCTATTATGTCTGTCCTGGAAGGACTTTATAATTACTTTTCTACTCTTAGGATATAGTTTTGCTCACCTGTGACATCTGCCTGTCAGGCTCTTCAAACAGCCAAAGTATACTAAAGGCACACAATAAGCCATGCTGAATAATCCAGTTCCAGTTGCACCATGTAACTGGGGACAGAAATGGTAGGGATACAAATAAGTCTGGCAGTCAGATGATGTTTATACATTATTGCCTCTAATTTTTGAAATTATTAACAATGAGATAGAGGGTTAAATGCCAGCATGAACTGTCAGCAGTATTTGGTAGAAATCTCAGTTGCCATTCTTAACTTGGCAGTGTACTTTAAACACAGAAAACTTCACATTTAAAATAAAGCCTCTTTCATCTGATAAAGTTGCCAGGGAAAATAAATAATTAAACAGATTGCATGCTGGTGCTGCCAGGTCATCCCATCTTGGGAGACATGATGCTGCAAAGCTTGGTCTGAAACCTGTCCTTCAGTAAGCAATGCAGCTGCCAGCCCCAAAACCTGGTTGTGGGTAAAAAAAAATCCTCATCTGAAACACTGAGAGAGTATTGAGATAACATAAAATCATTACTCAAACAGGACTGTGGAAAAGGCTGGGATACAAGAAGGAGTAAGAGTATAGAATGAATGGCAAATACAAAGGAAAAAAGGGAAAGAAACAGTGAGAAATCAAAGACTGAAGAAATAATTGTTGCCACTTTATTTTGTACAATTTTTGCCTTTGTACAGCATCTGACTTAACCATATACCAAACAAAGCCTCAAAGAAATTCACAACCCTGGAAACAGAGGTCAGAGACAAATTGTATATGCTTCACTCTGACTCTTCTTGGAAGCTACAGATGTTCATTGTTTGGACACACAATGGACAGTTTACTATCTCCAGATGTTCACCATCCACCCTCCCAGGACACTAATGGGCAGGCCAGGGAATGAATGCTTTTAGCAGAAACATCAGTCTCCAGTACTGCTTCAGATGAAGTATTTTGTCAGTTTTTATGCTCTGGGCAGCACCTGCTCCAGATGTGGGGAGCCTACACTACAAAGCAATGCCCCTCTGTCACCACCCAAAACAGCATGAAGCCTGTAAACTGTCCATACAACTGCTGATGAATTGACTTCCAAAGAGAATGAGAATCCAGCATTGCTTTTGACTGTTTTAACAGACAGGAATAATAAGCAAATATTTAAAATTACAGAAGTATTTAAGTGGTTGTGTTGCTCAGAGAGTCAGCACAAGGAGAGTCATTCTCTCGAGCCACAGAAATAATGAGACAACTTTTGTAAGAAATTTGAACAGGAATTTGTCTGTAATTATACTTCTTATTCACAGAGGGAAAAAAAACCCATGCATCAATTTAGCATTATCAAATATGATCCAATCAGTTCTCATACATTTATTTATTCTTGCAGAAAAACTTGTGCTGACATTTTAAGGAAGGCTTTACATAACAAATGCCCATGTCAATTCGAAGCTGCTTATCACCAATTCTCAATGCCATATTATATAAAAACACAGGTGAGAAACTGCAGAAAAATAGTCATCCAGCAGCAGCACCCAAGTCACCCCTCAGAACTGTTCAGATAGTTTTGAAAATACTATCTGATGGGAAGTTCAGGTCACTTCAGTTGTCCTGAATTTGCTCTCAAAACGCCTTTGCCAGAAACCAGGGGAAACAAAAGGTCTGGAAAACTGAAGGTAAGATACTGGCTCTTCTCCAGTGAAGTCACTGAGGAATTGAGTCACACCTTTCAAAAGAAAAAGGATTTCACAACAAAAAGATAAATAGTCAAAAATCCCACACGAAATCTGTGAGAGCTGTTGTGTGCAGCAGTTCTGAACAGGCACTAATTGCTGCCTGCGGATGGGGAACCCATTTACATAGGAAAAAAAAAAACACATTTTGTGACAGCTGGGAAAAGACAAGAAAGAGACCCTTGATAGGAAAAATACAATTAAAAGCATTAGCATGCCATTAAACCAAGTATATATACACATTATATTACATGAGTGAACTGTGTTTTCTTTAGTGTACATGCCATTTTTTATTAATTCATATACTAAGTGGTAAAGTGTTACCTAACGCCAATAGGTGGTGCTTTCAGTAAGCAGTAGAATAAATAGTTCTTGCACAGTTCCTTTCTGCACTGTGTTCTCATTTTCTTCTGCCAAAGAAAATTGAGACAAACACCCTGGGTGCCTCCTCCTTCTGAAGCCCACCAGCCTCACACAGAGGTGTGTATCACGTTTCCGAGGCACTCTGGCTGCCCTCGGGTGTGATGAACTGCACTTTGGGCACGATGAGGGAGGGGTTGGTTCTCCGCATGGAGTTGCTCCTCCGAATGGAGTTGTTTCTCCTCATGGAGTTGCGTTTCCTCAGGGAGTTCTGGTGGGACAGCTCGCTCTTCTGCAGGGTCTGGATGAGGATGGATGGCTTCTCGTCCAGCTCTCGAGCGCTGCAACGTGGAGCAGCCACTTTGACCGTGTTGCCAAACTTGGAGTAGTCGACGGCATACACTCCTTCCTCTTCGGTGACAATGGGCACAAAGCGGTGGCCCCACAGGATCTCCTCTGCCACGTAGGAGGTTCTCGCCTGCGTCGTGATGCCAGTTGTTTCTACGACTCCTTCCAGGATCACAATGAGCTCCAGGTCCTGCAGGGCCAGGTCAGCAGCAGAGATATCGTAAAGAGGACTCCGCTTGTCTATGACGTGACAAATGATTAAGGGAGCCACAAGGAAAATATTGTTGCTTTCAATGGGGTTATCCACAGGGATATCTACTTGGTGAATGGGGATGACTTCTCCTTCAGGGGTCGTGGTCTTCCTCACAACCTGGATTCTCACTGAGGCGCTGATGATCATGCTCTTCCTCAGGTCTCCCACCCGAAACATGAAGCAGAGTTTGCCGTTGCGCACCGCGATGACTGCCTGCCGGCTGAAAATCAGGGTCTCTGCCCGCCTGTGGGCCTGGGCAGTTTTCATGAAGATGCAGCCCAGCATGACAGCGTTAATGATCAGACCCACAATGTTCTGGAGGATCAAGACCGTGATAGCCAAGGGACATTCCTCTGTCATCATCCTGCCCCCAAAACCAATGGTCACCTGGACTTCGATGGAAAAGAGGAAAGCGGAGGTGAAAGACCTAGAGAAGAAGATTGCACAAAGATAATTCTAAGGAGACAGAACACCAACTGAGAAGCTTTTAACACATACTTTCTAGAAACAAACTGAAGGATCTACTTGTACAGTCCTGTACATTTAAGCCTTCTGCTAACACCAGCAAAAGCACTGCATACTTGGTGACTCTGTTTTTGTATGATTGGTGCAGTATCTGATGGTGACAGAGAAGACCTCAGAACCTGAGCTCCTAAAAGACCCTCTGTAAGATTAGGTGACCCTGAGAAGCTCACTAGATCCTCCGCTCAGGAACACATGCTGCCCACTGTGGTTGTCAACAGTGCTGTGAAACCTGGGCTTTCCACCTTCTCCATCCCATGGAGCTCTCGGTGGAAAGTGTTGGTTTTGGCAGTAGTGAGCAATTGGCCGGCACACCAAGATTCTTCCACCAGACTGTGCAGGGAAAGCATACAGGGAAAACTGCAGCATTTCACTCATACAACCTGAATTGTGACCCTCTACAGCAGGATTTCCTGGAGGGAAAGGGGATACTCCCAGATTTATGATGCTTTCCAAATGCTTGCTGACCTTGGAACTGAGCCTGGAGGACAAGGCTGCAGAGAGAGGCCAGTGGCCTCCACAGTCCCCTCTGCACATCCTGGCAAGAGGACAAGGCTGTGACCAGGGTTTGGGTTTAGCTCACTGTTGTGGCAAGACTAGCTGGAGAATTTCAACACAGAAGTGGGTTGCAGAACAGTGGGTTGAGTCAAACATCCCTACTATGCTATAGTGCTGGACATCACAGGATGCTGTCCACACTTTCCAAAATACATTACTGATAGTAGTCCACAATGTCATATCCTCTGTATATACCAGGGTCTTTAATTTCCTTTTTTAATCAGATACATTCTCCACCAAGGTTGCTTATGTCTAAAATCAGTACCTTGAGATTTATCCAATAGACTTGCAGCACGCTGGGGTTCAATTGAACTAACACCATTGTCATCCTTTTACAAAAGTGCAGCCTATCAACATCTGAAGCATCATCATGCTCAACATGGCTTTACCTATGGAAAACATGCCCTGCCTGTGAGGATGGTTCTAAACCATTCATTTGGTTTGCTTTTCAAGTAATCTGCTTTTAAATTGTTTTGTTTTTTTTTTTTTTCTTCCCTAACTGTGTTTTCAATGATCCTGGGGTCATGAGGAAACAGTAAAATAGCATAGGCAATACAAGGGATAATTTTCTGAAGGATGAGAAAGTTCATCTTTCAGAAAGCCAGACAGTTTTCTACAGAGATATCTCTGAAAGAACTTTTGTCTTTTTTTTTTCCCTTTTCTATTTTTTAAATCTTTGGTAGATTCCCTTGTACTGAGGAGTTTATTTATGCATTTAACTCTGAAGAAATCAGGGATAAAGGAGTTAATTAATTATTTATTATATCCATTAACAGTTATGTGCAGAATGAAGCTTCTGGTTTAAGCTTAATTCATCTTAATTTGACTTAAAGCTCTCTGGAGGAAATATTCTGATTCCCTTAACAGCACTCCTTCACTAAAAGAAAATAAAATAATAGAGAATCCACCTTTCTAGAGTAGAAACGACTGAAGCAGCAAGTTTATACAGCATTTTAACCATGTGAAGAGGGAGCCAGAAACTCCAAATCACACTATTCCCATGTCCTTCCTCTTGGAGCTGTGTAAGTTTTCCTCTGGATAATGTTTGCTTTCTGTAGCAAAGAACTGTGAATTGTGGAAATTTCTGCTGTACTTCAAAAAATCAACGTGCTATGCAAGTTCTAGGCACTGGTCAAAATTTCTAAAACTAGGCTCCCTGTAAAACTGTAATAGCACCTACCAAAGACAGCTCTCCTGAAATCTCTGTAGGCCTAATTCTCATAAAAGTCAGCTAATAAATACTTGTCATTATTTTGGGACAGATATTATTGCAGTATTAAATATACTTTACTTCCAACAACTCACCATTCTTAAAAAAGTCATCAATCTATTGTTTCATGCCTTTGTCCAAAGCAGTAGCCAGATTTAAGAAGATGAAGTACTTCACTATAAAGGGAGAAGATTTTCCATGGCTTGGACAAGGATACTTGAGCAGCTGTTGGCTGAACCACCCCAGGTACTTGCACAAGGGAGCAACGTATGTTCTTTGTCATGGGCTAAACCAGAAAATTACACTGATTCATTAGCTCTGCTTTATCACCCTCCTCCAAGCTGTCCTTGAGCACAGGTTAGAAGGCATTCTGGAAGTGCTGCTGGCAAGGGGCTGCTGCAGGGAGGGAGAGAGGGCCAGAGACACATCCATGGGTCCCACCTTGTCCTAGCAGCACAAAGCCCTTGGCAGCCAGCTCAGGCTCTGCAGGGTAGCCCAGGAGCCCCATAGGGAACCCCCATGGTTTGGGCCAGGCCAAGGGGGCTACCAACCAAGCGGAGGGATGTCCCCCTGGCTGACTCTGAAGAGCCAGCAGCGTGTTGCTACTTGTTAATTTGGGTTGGACAAATCCCACAAATTCCAGAAATGCTGGTGTGACACCACAGTGGGCACAAGCTGGGTCATGGCATCTCATTTCAGAGGCAACTGCTTGTGGCCAGTTATTGGAAAAGAAATACAACAGCACACCCCTCCCTCCTCCCCCCAGCCCAACACCCCAACCTAATGAAGGTTAGCTTGGGGAAACAAACACATTTCCTTTAGCTTGGAAAATCAACATTTAGCAAAAAAGTGTCAAAACAAAGAAGAATGAAAAATCTGCTCCCTCATGAACCAGGTACAATGTCCTTTCAGACTTGGTGAGGTGCCTCAAAACTATGTGCAGGAGAAGAGAGGGTAGTGAAGTGGATACTCTGATGTCTCAGTGGACCCTGCAAGACCCCCAGCCCCTCCCAGCACTGCAGTGTGTAAAGGCAGACTGGCACTACCAAATCAGGATTTTTTTACTTAAAAACCTAGTGTTATAAAAAGAGATTTCACTGATGTGATGACAAAGTGATCTTCTTGCTTATTCCACCCCGAATTAACAGCCAGTCTTCTGTTGAGTGCATATAGGTGTCAGTTTATCAGTGCCTTGAAAATTGTCATGGCTTTAGAGACAGAGGGTGAAATATTTTATCAAGTGACATTTAACCTAGTAGTCCCTTAAGCTTTCACTGTCCAACACATCATGCACACTGCGGAAACTGTTCCTCTGTCAAACTGCTGGCTTATGGCTCCATCAAGGCATTTTGAAGCACCCCATATTTAGCCGTCTCATGAGTGTCATCTTGAAAGACATCTAGTTTTGCTCTACGTGGCACTCTTCTTGCCCTCCCTGACACCCTGCCTCTCAGGCACCTCTCTTGGGGTGGCCACCTTCCACTGGCATGGCAAGTGGCTCACACCATGCTGGGGATGCTCCCACTGCTGCAGACAATGTCACAATACAGATAACACATACCCACTGTTGTAGCAGGCTCTTATCTCGACAGGCAGGGTATGTTACCCACAGAGTGTGGAGACACATAAAAAGCAGCAGGTCTCCCTCTCTTTCAGATCCTGTAAGGAATCAAAGAAATCTACAGTACAGTATTTTCCAAGCCCAGAAGGCTTGCTCAGTTTACATAATCTAGAGGAAAACACTGCACTTTTCAACTGTCTCAACCAAACCCAACGTTTCACGTAACCCCAAAGCTGTACTTTAGGCATCGGCAGGCCAGCAGGCAGCTCTGTTCCCCCCTTTTCTCCACCCCAACGACTGCACTTTACCTGACGCACGTCACACAGGGCGTCCACTTGGTGCTGTTGGTCGCACTTTCCGTGCTTGGGTCCATGTCGCCGTGGGCGAAAGCCACCAGCCACCACATCATGGCAAAGAGCAGCCAGCTGCACAGGAAGGACATGGTAAAGATGACCAGCGTGTGACGCCACTTCAGGTCCACCAAGGTGGTGAAGATGTCCTGCAGGAAGCGCCCCTGCTCACGGATGTTCTTGTGTGCCAGGTTGCAGGCCCCGTTCTTGGCGATGAAGCGGGCTTTGCGCGGCCGGTCGCGGATGCGCGGCTTGCGCAGGTTCTCGGCGGCGATCCTTGCCAGCACGTACTCCTCAGGGATGATACTCTTCCGAGCCAACATCTTCCTGACACCATAGTCCACTCAGCAGGATGCGAAGTGTGTGTGGGGGCGTTGGTCCCTCTAGCACGTTTCCACAGGTTTCGCTCCACCCTGCAAAAAGAGTGAACCTTGGTCAGGTTTGGCACCTACACAAAAAGCCACAATGAGGCAACTCCTTCCAACCAGCACATGAAATGTCACTGCGTGGCTGCTTCTGCAGTGCCCTCCCTCTCTCAGACGACTCTTTTGAGCAATTGGTATTGTAACAGACTGAAAGATGCTATTTGGAGGCTCCCTGCAGGAAGGGAGGCTGCAGGACAGGCTTGCAGACTCGGTGTAAATAACGTGACATACGCCAGGTCGGCTCCTCGGGCTGTTTCTCCAGGAGACAGCAGTGCCCAGGTGGGTCCCGCCACATGGAGCGCTAAGTTATTCGCATCCTTCGAGACCTGAAGAATCACTCTCCTCGGGTTGGAACGAAGGCTGTTCTGCGGAGAGACCGCGGCGACTCATTTCGTACGGCTGTAGCCCCGCAGCGCAGCCG